GGAGGTAAGGGCTGCACTCCATTTCTTGTTCAGAGTTGGGTTTGCTGTTGGAAAATCACCCTACTGATAGAGTCCCTGCCTCAAGTGGAGGTCGTTAATGGGATCTCTGCATCTTTATTGGTTGCAAAGAGCCCGTGATAGCACCAAGCCCTTTGCTGGGATTTCCTTGTGAGCTCTGGGTCAAGCTGTGGTCACACAGGGTCCCGAGGGAGGGTGCCGTCGATGTCTTTGTTACTTCAGTCTGTCACTGCACACAGAGCGAGGTGACATCTCTACCGATAGTTGTGTTCTCTTATTTTGAGGGCGTGGGGAAAAATGGTGACCACACGGTTAGCCTGGCATGCAAGGAGCATGTCCTACTCCGTCTGCCAGCCTGGGGTGCCAAACCTCCCCCTTCCAACAAGGGAAAACACAGGCGGCTCGTTACAACTCAATCACAAATTGCCTTCTGGCCTGCTTTTTGTAGGGCTCTGCTCATGCTCTGGGCAAATCACATTGTAGCCCCAAAGATAAAAATTAAAGAGCAGCTATGCATATAGATGTAATATATGCATGCGCGCAGATTGTACGGCAGAGCTGGGGACGTAAGCTATTCCAGTGTGACTGAATTACTGGCTTTTGTTTAAATGAACAATTGTACTGGCATTAACAAAAAGTTTTCCCCAGCTTGACAGCTGTCACAATGACTTAATGAAAAAATATCACTATTGTTAGATTTACGGATGGTTTAGTGGGTTTTGGTAGGATCCTCTATCTCAAATATGACATTTCCTTCTCTTTCTGAAAGTAATTAATATAAACTTGTTCAGTGCTACTGCAATACCATCTGCTTGAAGGAGAATTCATGATGTTTTCTGCTTTTGTATTTTTTCCTTTGTGATATATACATGATGACATCTCCCCGCTCACAAAAAAAAAGGTAGTGTATTTTAAAGTTTTCTAATGACTTAACTATGCAAAAGTGGTGAAAAAGGTTTATTATTGACATGAAACGTAGAGACTGAGAACCCCACTAATAAGGGTAAAACCTTATAATGAGACTGCTGAGCAAGGAGATCAAATGAAAATACATGATGGCCATCTTATGTGCTGCTGTAGTTAAAAGCAGTTAAGTGAGGCAACTTGAAAGTTAACATTTGTTCCTTTTCAAATGTGTTAAGTGGTTTTAGATGCTGCACCAACCCACAAACTCTGTTTCCATTTTTGTCGTATTTACAATTCCATTTTCTTCTTTTTTAACACATTTCTTTCTCCCTTGTTATATGTAAATACAAACAGGCAAAACTCTGTTAATGAACTAGACTATACCTTCAGTGTTGTTAAATGCAAAAGGGTGACAAATTGGTGAAAAATATTTTTATCTTGTCATTTTCAGTTACAGCAGTTGTAGGTGTTGCTTTTAGCAGACAGAGGAAGCAAAAATATTTAGACACAGATGTGGTAATATATCTTTTAGCAGAAGAACGTATAGCCTCAGAGGCTCACCAGCTATTCTTGAATACCACAGAGCTAACTTATGCTTTTCTACAGACTGTAGCTGATAAAGATTTCTTTTTTTGTTTTAGGATGCCAAGGAAAAAAGCCACATTTGATGCTATAAAAAGTTTGATGCAAAGCTCTATCGCTGGCTGTATTGGAGGATGGAGGGGCTTAAGCAGTATGCTATCATAAGTGAATAGATCTATTTTGAAAAACACAAAATAGACAAATTATTGAAAATACAGCTGACTTTGGAAATCATTTGGAGCTTATGTCAGTAAGGCAAAAATCTTTTGATATAATGCCTCTCTCTGTTGTACCAACAAGACATATCCCTTTGTCAAGAAGATCTTTTGAAAGATTTAGGAAGATATGTAGATCATGGTGGGGCAACAGGCTGAAAATCTACAAGGGATAGAGTACCATTAGGTGAGATGTAGGTGCTGGAGAGAGCTTTAAATCCATCGTCCATGAAATTTGTACTTAGGACAGTCCAAAACCTCTTTATAAACGATGCTTCATTTCCATATATTTGAGTGATAGATGGAGTTGTAGTTTAGGCAGCAAAGATCACCTTCCAAAATCATCCCAATAACCTTTTCCTTGTAATATGTGACATGGAGGCTGATCAGCCTCCCTTAAACAATTTGTGTAATTGTAAAGCACACCCAGTAAATTTTGCATATTGTGGTGCCTTGTTTAACTACCACAGCTAAAGGCTTTACAGCTATTGGGCGTAATTTTCACAGATTCTGGATCTCAGCTCTGGTTCCACACATCTATCGCAAACCCCTATCTGTCTGTAAATGTCTTTGAGCTCTCCAAGCTCTGCAGTTGTCATCTGTATATGCTCAGCAGATTGCTGACAAATCCCATTGCTCTGTGAGTGTTTGACAGTGAAGACAATGCCCAGATGTTGAGACATCAGTCCTCTTAGGAGACTTCCAGACTTGAGACAGCTAGAAAGTACTTGCAGTCTCTTACCGTGTGCTTTATTTCTCCCATTTGGTTTGGGAGCGACCACCCATCTGATTGAAAAGACAGAAAAAAGCATATCAGGTTGATCCCTGCTTTGTCTGTTTACTGGGCTCTGGTGTCTTCAGACTTTTTTGGCTATGAAGCTCTGGCACAGCCTCATCTAAAGCAACTTCTAAATGTAAAGAGTATACTTAAAGGTGAGGTAGATCTTTAGCATTGGGTTTTTAATAAGGTTGCTGATGGACACTATGTCTGCTGGTTTCTGGATATATATTTAGAACTTCAATACTGGAATATTAATTGTAGAAGGGATAAAAGAGGGGCCGCCACCTATTCCACAGCACCTTCTCTAAGGCATTTCTTGCTGGAATATGTCACTTAATATTTTAGGGTTTTGTACCTCAGTGCATATGAAAGAAGTCACTGCATGATTTTTCTAAGACACAGAGAGAATGATTAATAATGAAAAAAAATCTGCATTGAATGTTTTAGACGTATTTCCTCTGCATCTTTGTGGGGTGATTTCTTGGGAGGATATTTCCCAGGGAGTGTTAGCTATCCACCCTCTGGGCTCACCTCACTGAAAAGCTAAGGGTATAATTTTTCAGTTCTTCATTTTCCTGCAATTATTTTAAGCCTAATCCTGCACGTTTGCATGTGTCAGAGTTAAATTGGTCTTAGAGGCTTTTTTAAAGGATCAGGCCCTTCATGTTTTACTATTGCTGGATTACTTTTCTCATCTACATCTTGAGTAGTTCTTATTTGTTAATTCACTTTTTTTCTTGGACAGCAAAACTATAGCAGCTAATATTAGGAAAACTTTTAGTCAGAATACCTCCTTATTCTTATATGTTTTCTGTTTGGTTCGAAATAGATTAATATTTTTACATTTATTCATCAAGGAACTTAAAGGCCTTCCTACCAAGGAGTTGCCTGCTTTGAAGTAGATGAGTTTTTTGCAATTATAAGGGCATGTTCACAGCAACTGATAAGAATTTGGTATTAATGAACATCCTTACTGTAGAATGGCACCATGTGTTGTTGCAGTCAGCACAAGTGCTGCAGAGTTGTTGGAGGTCATTGTGTCCAAAGCGTTCAAGAACATTATCCTGAAATGTCTCAGCAGTTCCATACACTCAGCCATCTGTGGGCAGTCCTCATTCAGTGTGTGTTTGAAAAGTCCATAGCACAGCCTGTCCCTGGTCTCCACTGAGTGGTTAGCCATTACCGCAATATAAATAACATTCATCATCCTTTAGGCTGGCAGGTAATAGCTGTACTGGGCCAGAGCGTGTGGGGCTTTCTCAGAAAGGAAGACTGAATCAAAAGTCCGCAATAGCGCTGTTATGAGTACTGACCTCCATAAGTTAATTTTGAGGCTGACAGACTCGGATGGGTGAGGGCAGCCCGGCCTCTCAGCAAAACCCTGAGCATCCCTGGCATACAGTGATGTGTTTTGTGGTTCCTCCCCAAACTCTGTGTTTCACTTGGTGTTTTCAGCCTGCTGTAACAGATGCAGCTGCAGCAGTGACGGGCATCCAGGGCTGTGCATGCAGGGCAAAGAGTGCCCATCCCCTTGCCAGCTTTACTTTCATGCCCACCTCATTTCCTCGCCTGTCTTCAGTTCCCAACCTAGGCTGGAGAGCACTGAAAATACTGTAAAAGGGGAAAATGTGAATGAGAGCGGTTAACCCAAACTCCTGTGTCCCCATCCCCCAGCTGCCTGCCAGACCTGCATCACAGACCTCTTGTAATGATCCTGGGTGAAATTTCCTAAGGTGAATTCTTTGGTAACTTAGAGATTTTGTAAAATACAGAAGCCAGCAAAAGAATTCAGCTCGTGCTGTCCTCCTTCCCCTCTAGCATTCAGGCACACAGAGAGAGAGTCACTTAGTGAAAGATATTTTGACTTAGTGATCTCATTCAGCACATTATGTTAAATCATTTCAGCAAGAATATCTATTAGTAATCATTTCGAGTTCCAGGGAGTATGAAGGAGGCATTTTGGCATGTGACTCAAGAACCTGCTGGGCTGCTTCTTCAGGCTGGCAAAACAGGGGAACTGTGGTGAATTGAGAAGTTTAGTCAAACAGGCCTGAAGTTTAAGCCTCCATGAATGGCTTTGACTGCGACATGCCTTCACTCTGAACTGCAGACAGCGTCTCGCGTGCTGCTGGGCACAGAGCCCAGTGGAGGGCTTGAAACCTGCACAGCTGCACTGATCTGTTCGGGCTGCTTCCTACTTAAAGATAAGGTATATAATGAAAAGATAAATAAGCCCTGATCCAGGTCCTGCTAGACAAAATGGAAAGATGCCCAAGAGCTTCTGTGAGCATTGGATTGAACTATTCATGAAAATTAATGGCATGCAGAGCTAATAGGCTGTTTCTTGGCCTCAGAATTATGTTGCACCTTCTGGGAACATATTGTAGCCTGCTGGTAGATCAGTCTGCTGCATCTGAACTCTCTTGGGGCCAGACTCTGCTTTCTTTGCACCCTGCATGGGTAAACCCATGGAAAGGGAGGGAAGCAGCAGAGAATCTAAATTGGTGTATTTTTTTTAAAAAAAAGCTCTGTTTTCCCCAGGTACAAGTCTATTTCCCTATCTTCTTCTGATGCAGTAGCAAATAAATTCTTCTCAGAAGGCTGTGGATTTTATCCTGGTCTTGCCAATGTTGCTCTTTCTGACTGAGAGCATCAGAGGAGGTTCTGCTAACCAAGGAGCAAGCCTTTTCCAGTTGCTTCGTGAGTCTTGTGACTTTATGGCAACTCCAGCAAGGCAAGTCAGATTCACTATGCATTAATATTTCCAACTGAGAGTATTGCAGTAGAAGCTAGAACTGTGCAAATAATTGTGTTTTGGATTTGGTAGCTGAATGGACAAAAAGTAATTTTGAGTTGACCTGAAACAGTTTGGGGTTTTTTTTCCCCCCATCAAACAATTTTCCTTTTTGAGTTAAACAGGATGATTTGTTTTCTGGACCATGATATTTTATCTGATTATGATTTGAACCCAGCTGGAGACTGCTGTCACGCCCTGAAAGCTTCTTGCATGTGCCCAACCTACATAAGGCAAAACTGACAAATTTGTCAGTACAGCCCAGCAGAAATACTGGGAGACAACATATCGTCACGTGTATCTCCCTAGATGGAAACCCCACTGTTTGTGGTGTTTTCTGCCCTTCCCAACCCTGTGGGGCATTGCTTAGTTTGATACCTGAAATCTCTGAGACCTTCCTGTATGCTGCATACATTGCTGCACTTATCTTAAGATAGCAGGATACCATAATCAGATCTGATTAAGAGCCATTTCATTCACTGATATCTTCTATCGGATCTAGAGAAGTGGAATCAGCTCAACTATAGGAACAAATTAGAAGTGGTTAGAAGGGTTTCCATTAAGGCAGCCATCCCTCATGATCACACACATGCCCTTTACACCTAGACTTTGTCTGGAAGGTAATGTACATTTGGCATTTTACATATTATCGTGTAGTCTCATTGACCTCTAGCCTGGCTGTCTCTCTGCATTCCATCACTGCTCTTGCTGCTTCTTACCCTTTTCTGCCTCAAGGTTTCTACAATCGTTTTCCTCCTAGCTAAAAAATATTGGCTTCCAGAAATCACTTACATTTAGTCTATAATATAGCAGAGACAAATTATCGTGACCATTACAAAAGATCTCTTGGCCCCTTCTGTAGGATGTTTACTGTGTTGAGCTCATGGTGTATTTGCTCTTTGGTGTCCTTGATGGTAGTTCATTGGCAAGTGACTTAGTGACAAAGAGCCTCCAACCAAAGACAAGTTGCTGATAAGGGGATTAAAGTGAACATGGTCTCTGAGGCCCCTTTATTCTGTCAGTGCTTGGACTTGCTTAGCTGCTCAGGTGCTTCTTGTGTATTCCCAGTCCCTGAGGTAAAACTGTCTCCAGGCTTCTGCTTATCCTTTGATGTACTGTGTAAGCTGAATTCATGCTGGTGGGGAGAACATGCCCCATTAGTATCCTAGATACTCAGCTTTTTGGAATTGATGAGATGGAAAGTAAACAAAACTATCAGGGAGTTGGCACTTTCCAAAGAGAGATTTTTCTTCTCTGAACTGAAATGTTGCCATGAACTTAAAATGAAATACACCCTTGCATTCTGTTTAAGGTTCAGGATATGAGAGCGGCTAGTTGGTAACCCCCAAACCAGATCGTATTGAAACCCAGTGCACTGCACAACAATGACTTCGGCAATTTGTTCTGCCAATAGCAAGAATTTGGAGAGTCCCTTCTGAGTCCAGAGGACTGGTTCTGATATGACCAGTAGCTCACAGTGATCCAACCCTCCGACCCACATGCGGCTATGTAAAGATGCTGTGGTTAAAGGTTCTGATCCCACAAGGAAAGAGCTCTTTGTACCCTGTAACTTGGGGCAGTTCCTTTATCTGCTGTCTTGCAAATGTGGATCACAGTATTTTGAGCTTTGTCCAATGGAGATTCAAGTACCAGGTAGCTGGGAAGTGATCATCTCTAGGAGACACCATCTGAACTGGTGGTTGTTGGCAGTTTCATTGGCTCGTCCAGCACTGAATCAGCAGCTTCAGTGATTCGGATGCGATGCTATCTGTTGCTTTCTAAGTAAGAGTTTTGTAAATGAAGGTGGAGGTATATTAATGGAGCCAAGTGTTCTTTCTGGTTGGAAAGTAAATAAAAGTCTGATGGGATGGGTTTACCAATATCTGCAAGGTCAAGTTAATTTATTTTTTGAGTCAAAAGAGTGAAAAAAATATATAGATATGAGAAATAAGCTTTCCAGATATGTGCTTGTATTCTGGTTTTGTTTGTTTTGTGGGGAAAGGAAAAAAAACTTGCTTTCTTTTTCCTTTCTATATTTGCCCACTGTTTTCCTTCTTTTTTTGTTTTTTCTTCTGGGGAAATAAAAGTGCAGAAGGAAGCTGAACTGAAAGAGAATTAGAAAAAACTGCCAGTAATCCTAAAATGGAAAATAGAGAACTGAATGTTTGTGGTTTTCAGAAACCGAAATGACATGCTGACAGTTTAAGTTGAAACAAAAATCACGAAACCTCTTATTTAGGCACTTTTAAATACAAAATCGTTTATTAAAACAAAAGCGAAAATTATAAAGTCTGAAGAAAAATACTTCTTTTTTAATAAACAGGTATTTCTACATTTTCATATATATATTTATGGGCATACACTTTACAGACATAGACTTGCAGGCATACACATATGGACAGAGCGGAGGGCTCAGCACATGGAGTATTTATTTTGGCCCCCTCTAAGATGGGGAATAATGCTGCATTTTTACATTTTTCTATAGTAGCATGCTATAGCTGTGTGTTTGGGTTTTATTCATAAACTTAGTGTTTGTGGGAACT